TGTGTTGATTATAGAGACTTGAATCGTGCAAGTCCAAAAGACAACTTCTCGCTTCCTCATATCGATGTGCTGGTTGATAATACTACTGGGTTCTCAACCTTCTCCTTTATGGATGGGTTCTCAGGCTACAATCAGATCAAGATGGCACCTGAGGATCGTGAAAAAACCACATTGATTACGCTATGGGGAACTTTCTGCTACAAAGTTATGCCATTTGGGCTAAAAAATGCTGGGGCAACCTACCAGCGTGCCATGGTTACTCTCTTTCATGACTTGATGCACAAAGAAATTGAAGTTTACGTGGATGATATGATTGCCAAGTCAAAACAGGGCGAGGAGCACACAACTATTTTAAGGAAGCTGTTTGATCGATTGAGGAAGTTCAAATTGAAACTCAATCCCAACAAATGCATATTTGGGGCAACCACTGGAAAACTCCTTGGTTTTGTAGTAAGCCAAGAAGACATTAAAGTTGACCTGGATAAAGTCAAAGCAATCTTAGAGATGCCACCTCCACAGACGCAGAAAGAAGTCAGAGAATTTCTAGGACGACTCAACTACATCGCAAGGTTAATATCTCACTTAACAGCAACTTGCGAACCCATCTTTAAATTGCTCCGCAAGAACAACGATGGGGTATGGAGTGAAGATTGTCAAGCAGCATTCGATAAGATTAAGCAGTATTTGCAAGACCCTCCAATTCTTGTGCCACCAACTCCAGGACGACCCCTTATTTTGTATCTCACAGTGACTGAAAACTCAATGGGATGTGTACTGGGGCAGCATGATGATTCAGGCAGGAAAGAACAGGCTATATATTATTTAAGTAAGAAGTTCACCGATTGCGAGACTAGATACTCTCAAGTAGAAAAAACTTGTTGTGCTCTAGCTTGGGCTACTCGACGTCTAAGACAATACATGTTGTATTATACCACATGGCTCATTTCAAAGATGGACCCCATAAAGTACATTTTTGAAAAGCCGTCTCTCTCGGGTCGAATTGCAAGGTGGCAGGTCCTCTTGTCCGAATATGATATTGTTTATGTTACTCGAAAGGCTATTAAGGGGAGTGCTTTGGCCGACTACCTAGCTCAACAACCTATAAATGACTACATACCGGTAAAGTTCGATTTTCCAGATGAGTATATCTCCACCATAACTGCAAGTGAGGAAAGTTTAGACCCGCAAACTTGGACCATGATGTTTGATGGTGCCTCTAACGAGTTAGGTCATGGGATTGGGGGTATTTTGATATCACCCAAAGGGGAACTATACCCTCTTACCGCTAGATTATGTTTTGACTGCACACATAATATGGCCGAGTATGAAGCATGCTCGATGGGCGTCCAAGCTGCTGTTGATATGAAGGTTAAGAAACTTAAAGTTTTTGGGGATTCTATGCTAGTAATTCATCAACTAAGAGGAGAATGGGAAACAAGAGACGTTAAGTTGTTGCCTTACAAACAACTCATAACAGAATTGTCACAAGAATTTGATGAAATCTCATTTGATTATTTGCCAAGAGAAAATAATCAAGTAGCAGATGCATTGGCCACATTAGCGGTGATGTTCAATTTAGAACTCAATGAGGATGTCAGTCCGATTAAAGTTGGGAGGAGAGATGTCCCAGCTTCTTGTATGAGCATTGAGGAAGAACCCGACGGTAACCCCTGGTTTCATAACATCAAGTAATATATAAAGAGTAAAGAGTATCCACCAAATGCTTCAGAAAATGATAAGCGCACCCTTCGCAAGTTGGCAATGAAGTTTTTCTTAAACGGAGAGATATTGTACAAGAGAAACCATGACATGGTTCTCCTAAGGTGCGTCGAAGGAAGAGATGCCAATAGGATTATGGAAGAAGTTCATGAAGGAGTGTGTGGCACTCATGCAAATGGACACATGATGGCTAGACAAATTTTAAGAGCTGGCTATTACTGGCTGACTATATAGACAGATTGTATTAAATATGCAAGAAAATGTCACAAATGTCAAATTTACTCGGACAAGACTCATGCTCCTGCTTCTCATTTGCATACTTTGACAGCTCCTTGGCCTTTCTCTATGTGGGGCATGGATCTGATAGGACCTATCGAACCTAAAGCATCAAATGGGCACCGATTCATTTTGGTAGCCATAGATTATTTTACTAAATGGGTAGAAGCAGCTTCTGACCGAGATGTGACAAAAGGAGTTGTAGTCAAATTCATCAAGAATGAAATTATTTGTCGTTATGGTCTTCCTCAAACCATAATTTCCGATAATGCAAGGAATTTGAACAACAAATTGATGAGTGAGCTCTGTGAGCATTTTAAGATCAAACATTTCAACTCAACCCCTTATCGACCTAAGATGAATGGTGCAGTAGAAGCCGCCAACAAAAACATAAAAAGAATAGTTGAAAAGATGACTGTAACTTACAGAGACTGGCATGAAATGCTTCCATTTGCCTTACATGGTTACCGCACCTCAGTTCGTACTTCAACTGGGGCAACGCCATTTTCTTTAGTTTATGGTATGAAAGCTGTTCTCCCTATTGAAGTAGAAATTCCATCATTGAGAGTTATCATGGAAGCTAAGTTACAAGAGGCTGAGTGGGTCCAAAGACGTTATGAGCAGCTAAACTTTGTAGAAGAAAAGAGGTTGACGGCATTATGCAGAGGACAACTTTATCAAAGAAGAATGATGAAAGCGTATGACAAGAAGGTGCACCCAAGAAGGTTTAGAGAGGGAGATTTAGTTCTAAAAATAATTCTCCCATTACAGAAAGATCATCGAGGCAAATGGACCGCGAATTATGAAGGACCATTTGTGGTGAAAAAGGCTTTCTCCGGAGGAGCACTAGTTCTGGCCAACATGGATGGCACTGAATTTTTAAATCCAGTCAACTCAGATCATGTTCGAAAATATTATGCATAGTTTATGATGTATTTCAAAAAATTTCACTTTGATCTCAGTATTATGCTTGAAAGGCAGTTTTGTGTATCCATTCTCTATTATAGCCTATAAATTTAAACCACATCTTTGAGACGTGTGTCTCTTGTCATTTATAAAGTCTGCTCTCCATTCGTCTCTTTCTATATACGAAGGACGGTAGCTTTTTCACGTCTCCAAGGCTATGCGTTACTCGAAATCAAACATAAGGGCACAGGAAGCCTGAGGGACATTTTGTTGTCTGGAACATTGGGGCAAGTACGACATTACAAAGTTATCAGGGCAAAGTCGTCGTCCCATTTGTTCTGGTTACTCTCGATCCAGTTAAAAAGATTTTTGAAGGAAAGCGAAATGCGGTGATCGAGCTATCTGAACAATCCCAAGTTTTTATAAAAGCAAGTGATTTCACTCTATTTTTGCATCCAAGACAAATTTTCCTGTTATCATCATGCATCAAACACACATTTCATGCATCGTTTCATGCGTCATTTCATGCATTTGCCTTGGAGAAGTCTCCAAAAAGCCCTATGGCAGAGAATTTTATGACGAATCACTTTTGCTCAAGCAAGCTTGTTTAGTTTTATGTTGGAACCCGATCAAAGATCGTGGTCGAAGCCTGTGTCAAGCCAGGTCCGTTTCCTTTTAGTTTTTGTCGGTTAAATCGAACCCGATATATCGTGGTCGAAGCCTGTGTCAAGCCAGGTCCGTCACTTTTTAGTTTTCTGTTGGTTAAATCG